ATGTTCTAAGAACAAAAATTATTCACTGCGTGGAGCTCCCCATATGTGCATCTACTCGCATGGACCTGTCCGCCGTGAATGTCTAGGCGCAAGAGCTTTCGAATATTAACGGGCTTCAGTTGTGACGGTCTGGACATCAATCTAACTGCGAATGAATTGGGGTGTGAATGAGCCTCAGTAGTACGAGCGCGTCTCTGTGCATGAGCCTGGGGCCTCCTGGGGCCTCCTGAAACCTACTGGGGCTTCCTGGGGTCTCCAAGAGCCTCTTGGGACCTCCTGGGACCTACTAGGAAGGTTTCGTGCCCCAGGAGAGGCGCAATCTATAGCAACAGACGTACATAAAACATTGCGGATTAGAGCCACAGGAGAAGGGCAATCTATAGGAACACGCGTAAAACACCAAGGGCTCGTGCCCCAGGAGAGGCCCAATACATAGGAACATGAGTAAAACATTTAGGATTGTGTACACAGGAGAAGGACCATCTATAGAAACATACGTAGAAAATCAAAGAATCGTGCTCCAGGTGAGGCCCAATCGATAGGAGCATACGTAAAACACATGGGATTGGACCCACTCCTGTTGCCTTCTGAGGCCTCCTGCTCCCTGGGCCTTCGGGGCCTCAGTTGCTTGAGGTCTGGCGCTTCTGTTGCTCTGGTTGCTGTGGTTTCTGAAGCCTTTGGAGTTCCTGGGCGCTCCAGGAGGCTCTTGGGAATTCTGAGCTCTTGAGTTTTTGGGAACTCTGATGCTCTGGGACCTCCGATGGTCTCCTGAGCCTGTTGGAGCCTCCTGTGGCATCTAGAAGAATCTGCGCCCACGAGGCCTGGCCACAAAACTAGCAAACGAACGAGACTTCCTCAAAATCTGGCCCACCTGGGGGGTGGAAATGAGCGCCCCGCTCGAGACATCCTCCAAATCTGCTCCGAAAGCGAAGGATGTTGGGCCCAGAAACAAGCAAACCGCCTGAGACATCCCCACAAAATGGCCGCGAACGAGCCCGTGCAACCACCCCTGGCGGCTCCCCTTAGGGGTGCTGCAATGAGCGCCTCGCTCGAGACATCCTCCAAATCTGCTCCGAAAGCGAAGGATGTTGGGCACAGAAACAGGCAAACCGCCTGAGACATCCCCACAAAATGGCCGCGAACGAGCCCGTGCAACCACCCCTGGCGGCTCCTTAGGGGCGCTGAAATGAGCGCCTCGCTCGAGACGTCCTCCAAATCTGCTCCGAAAGCGAAGGATGTTGGGCACAGAAACAGGCAAACCGCCTGAGACATCCCCACAAAATGGCCGCGAACGAGCCCGTGCAACCACCCCTGGCGGCTCACCTTAGGGGTGCTGAAATGAGCGCCTCGCTCGAGACATCCTCCAAATCTGCTCCGAAAGCGAAGGATGATGGGCACAGAAACAGGCAAACCGCCTGATACATCCCCACAATATGGCCGCGAACGAGCCCGTGCAACCACCCCTGGCGGCTCCCCTTAGGGGTGCTGAAATGAGCGCCTCGCTCGAGACATCCTCCACATCTGCTCCGAAAGCGAAGGATGTTGGGCACAGAAACAGGTAAACCGCCTGAGACATCCCCACAAAATGGCCGCGAACGAGCCCGTGCAACCACCCCTGGCGGCTCCCCTTAGGGGTGCTGAGTATGAGTAAGTCTGTGTATGAGTAAGTCTGTGTATGTGTACGTCTGGGTATGACTAATACTGTGTATGAGTAAGTCTGTGTATGAGTAAGTCTGTATATGAGTATGCCTGAGTGTGAATAAGTCTGAGTATGAGTAGGTCTGAGTATGAGTAAGTCTGAGTATGAGTAAGTCTGTGTATGAGCAAGTCTGAGAATGTCCGACAGGAGGGGAGGAGAAAAGAGGAGGAGGAAGGAGAAGGAGTAGGAGGCGTCCAAGTAATAATTATTCACTGCGTGGAGCTCACCATATGTGAATCTACTCGCATGGACCTGTCCGCCGTGAATGCCTATGCGCAAGGGCTTTCGAATATTAACGGGCTTCAGTTGTGACGGTCTGGACATCAATCTAACTGCGAATGAATTGGAGTGTGAATGAGCCTCAGTAGTACGAGCGCGTCTCTGTGCATGAGCCTGGGGCCTCCTGGGGCCTCCTGAAACCTACTGGGGCTTCCTGGGGTCTCCAGGAGTCTCTTGGGACCTCCTGGGACCTCCTAGGAAGGTTTCGTGCCCCAGGGGAGGCGCAATCTATAGCACCAGACGTACATAAAACATTGCGGATTAGAGCCACAGGAGAAGGGCAATATATAGGAACACGCGTAAACACCAAGGACTCGTGCCCCAGGAGAGGCCCAATATATAGGAACATGAGTAAAACATTTAGGATTGTGTACACAGGAGAAGGACCATCTATAGAAACATACGTAGAACATCAAAGAATCGTGCTCCAGGTGAGGCCCAATCGATAGGAGCATACGTAAAACACATGGGATTGGAGCCACTCCTGTTGCCGTCTGAGGCCTCCTGCTCCTGGGGCCTCTCGGGGCCTCCTGTTGCCTTCCGAGGCCTCCTGGCGCGTCCTGTTGCCTCCTGGGGCCTCCTGTGGTTTCCTGAGGCCTTCTGGAGCTTCCTGGGGCCTCCTGGAGCCTCTTGGGACATCCTGTGGCCTCTTGAGTCTTTCTGTGGCCTCCTGATGCCTCCTGGGACCTCATGTGGTCTCCTGGAGCCTCCTGGAGCCTGTTGGAGCCTCCTGTGGCATCCTGAGAAGAATCTGCGCCCACGAGCCTGGCCACCAAAACTAGCAAACCGATCGAGACATCCTCAAAATCTGGCCCACCTGGGGGGTGAAAATGAGCGCCTCGCTCGAGACATCCTCCAAATCTGCTCCGAAAGCGAAGGATGTTGGGCCCAGAAACAAGCAAACCGCCTGAGACATCCCCACAAAATGGCCGCGAACGAGCCCGTGCAACCACCCCTGGCGGCTCCCCTTAGGGGTGCTGAAATGAGCGCCTCGCTCGAGACATCCTCCAAATCTGCTCCGAAAGCGAAGGATGTTGGGCACAGAAACAGGCAAACCGCCTGAGACATCCCCACAAAATGGCCGCGAACGAGCCCGTGCAACCACCCCTGGCGGCTCCCCTTAGGGGTGCTGAAATGAGCGCCTCGCTCGAGACATCCTCCAAATCTGCTCCGAAAGCGAAGGATGTTGGGCACAGAAACAAGCAAACCGCCTGAGACATCCCCACAAAATGGCCGCGAACGAGCCCGTGCAACCACCCCTGGCGGCTCCCCTTAGGGGTGCTGAAATGAGCGCCTCGCTCGAGACATCCTCCAAATCTGCTCCGAAAGCGAAGGATGTTGGGCACAGAAACAGGCAAACCGCCTGAGACATCCCCACAAAATGGCCGCGAACGAGCCCGTGCAACCACCCCTGGCGGCTCCCCTTAGGGGTGCTGAAATGAGCGCCTCGCTCGAGACATCCTCCAAATCTGCTCCGAAAGCGAAGGATGTTGGGCACAGAAACAGGCAAACCGCCTGAGACATCCCCACAAAATGGCCGCGAACGAGCCCGTGCAACCACCCCTGGCGGCTCCCCTTAGGGGTGCTGAGTATGAGTAAGTCTGTGTATGAGTAAGTCTGTGTATGTGTACGTCTGGGTATGACTAATACTGTGTATGAGTAAGTCTGTGTATGAGTAAGTCTGTATATGAGTATGTCTGAGTGTGAATAAGTCTGAGTATGAGTAGGTCTGAGTATGAGTAAGTCTGAGTATGAGTAAGTCTGTGTATGAGCAAGTCTGAGTATGTCCGACAGGAGGGGAGGAGAAAAGAGGAGGAGGAAGGAGGAGGAGGAGTAGGAGGCGTCCAAGTAATAACAAGAACCCCATCTTAGGATATGGGGAACAAGAAGCCCATCTTAGGATATGGGGAACAATGTTCTTAGAACATACGCCCGATGTCATAAAACGAGATAGTCCTGGCCAGCAATGTTCTAAGAACATCTCGTGGGAACCACAAGAAGTGCTTAGAACATTCTTTGGTACGGCTAGAGGCGAGCCAGGACGCTTCGCCACTGCTTGACTCATGGTCGACGCGCGGCTGGTCTGCTGAAACTTCGTGCCGGCGGCGGGCCCCCCCGTGCTCCGCTGCATGCTCCTATAGTCCTATAGGCTTCCCTGATCGGGGCACCTCGCCGGAGGATCGCTTTCGGATGCGCTTGTTGGAAAGCGCGGCGTCAACAACTTGCAGAGATCAGGCGGGTCCTCGTAGTTCTTGGGGGCCGCCGCTGTAACCCCCGCGCTCCCCCGCTGAGCCCCAGCGCCGTCCTATGCCCCCCCTTGACTTCCTCCGTCTCCCCCTCCCCCTCCCGCTCCTCTTCCTCCTCCTCCTCCTCCTCCTCCTCACCTCCTCCTCCCCCACCTTCTCCTCCTGCTCCTGTTTACGCTTCCCGGGCACTGCTCGGTGACGGCGCTGCGTCCGGTCCGTCCTTCTCCTCCTCCTCCTCCTCTTCCTCCTCCCTAGCCGCCTTCCCATGAGGCAAACACGTCGGTCACCTCGTTCCCGCATCCCTCTCCACCCCATGTTTCCCATGCACCCTCCTCTTCAGGCGCCTCCACCTGACCCCCCCCTCTTCCTCCGCCACCTCCCTGCTGCGCCCTCCTCCCCGCCCCCCCCCCCGCCCTTCAGCTTCCCTCTCCCCGACCCTTCCTCCTCCTCCCTCCTCCCTCCTCTCCTCCTCCTCCTCCTCTCCTCTCCTCCTCCGTCTCCTCTCCCCTTTCCATCTCCTCCACCTCAACCTCCACCTCCACCTCTTCCTCCCACCTCCTCCACCTCCTCCCTCCTCCTCCTCCTCCTCCTCCTCCTCCTCCTCCTCCTCCTCCTCCTCCTCCTCCTCCTCCTCCTCCTCCTCCTCCTCCTCCTCCTCCCCCCCCTTGCCGTTCCATCCTGCTCCTGCCGTGACTGATGGGACGGCCGAGGGGTGGAGACCTTGGCCGGCTGCCAGCTCTGCCCCTGGTAGCGCGCCTCCACCTCGAGGTCAACCTTCAGCTCCTGAGGAGCAGAGTGGACGAGCAGGAAGTGGGGCGGGGCTGAACCTAAACGGTGTGTGTTCGCTTTCATGTTGTTTTCGTTTTCCCTCGTCTTTAACGCAAAACGACATCGAAACGAAAACGGCCCACGCAATCTCCAAAACACCGTTTCGGTCCACCCCTGAAGTGGGGCGGAGTGGGCGCGGGGGAGGGGGAGAACGAGGAGGGGGAGGGTGAGGGATGGGGGGGGATCACGAAGAGGAGGATGAGGAGGGGGAGATCAGGGCGAGGACACACACCGGGAGGATGAGGAAATCGAGCGCATGCGGGCCCCAATTGGCCCTGCCTGCCGCGGACGCGATACCTCTCTTTGTGCACCAGAGGGCGCGGGCGCCCGACACGCTGCACCACACGGCGGGAACGGTGGAGGTCCGTCGAGCTCTCCGGAGCTCTCGAGGCCTCCACTCGCGGCGGGCCCCGCAGACGAGCGCGCTGATGGCACCCCGAGGACACGGCCCTGGCGCGCTCGAGAGCACCGCAGCCGCGGGTGGAAGCGCGTTCTCTGCTCGTCGGTCGCTCCCCGGCCGGACCTGGCCACGTCAGGATCTGTTGCGTCCTGGCCTCCAGAGTTATGTCGGGCGTGTCCCCCTACAGGGGGATTTTCGACGAAAAATTAAAAATACCCCAAAAATACTCCAGGAAGGTAACAAAAATACTCAACAAATAGTCCCCAGACAATTTTTGGACTATTTATTGATTACTTTTGGTGTATTTTTTTTTAATTTTTCGTCGAAAATCCCCGTGTAGGGGGACAGGCCCGACTAACTCCAGAGCCCAGAAGAGGACGTCCCTACCGTCTCCCACAATTCCTCGATCCCCGCAAGCCCCGATATTGTTGAGCAGGGACCAGCCGTCCCCGCATTCCTATGGGCCTGCCACGACATGTTCTTAGACCCACGGGATGTTCTAAGGGCAAATGCGCTGCTCTTAGACCATAAAAGTGATGTATTACAACCAGAGAGTCTCACCCAGAAATGTCCTGAGAACACTTCCGGCAAACCACCAAAGAAAGTTCTCAGAACATTCCCTGGTAGGCCTCTCGGCAAACCAAGACGCCTCGCCACTGCTCGCAACACGGCATGGCGACGGAAAGACGAGAGCGCATGCGATGAATGAAGGGGCCCAGAGAGGCACAATTTCGCCAGCCCAACGGGCCAGAGGCGTGCTAAGATCTCCGGTAACTGGTTCACAGTATTTCTAGCTCGCGCGCGCGGGGCGGCCCCTGGGGGTCCCCGGACGAAAAGTACCCCGGCAAGGTTCTGGGAGAAGCCCCCAGAGCGCTCCAGGAGCGCATCAACAGGGCCCCGAGACGTCCCCGAGAGTCCCAAGAAGGGCCAAGAGAGAGTCCTAAGAAGAGCCAAGAGCGCCCAAAAGGCCCCCAAGATGGTACACCAAGGGTCCGAGATGCCACAAGATCGCTCCAAGACGCTAAAGATAGCCCCCAGACGCCTCACGAGGCTTCAAGAGCACTCCCAAGAGGGCCCCAAGAGGCAAACATCATTGCTTTTTCCTGAGGTTTTGGGAAGATGTTGGCGTTTCCACCTTTTCGGCATCGCGACGCCCCAAGACGGCCCAAGAGGCCCCCGAGATCGCCCTAAGAGGCCCGAGATGCCTCCGACAGGGCCCCAAGACGGCCCAAGAAGCCTCCAATATCGCCCCAAGGCAGCCCAAGAGACCTCCAAAACGGCCCAAGAGGCCTCCAAAACGGCCCAAGATGGCACCAAGACAGCCCAAAGAGGAGACCCAAAGTGGGAACCGGAACGGACATATCGAGCCCTCGGCCCCAAGCGGCGCCCAGAAGCCCCAAGATGCTCCCAAATGCTCCCAAAGGAGCTCCAAGAACCCCCAAAGAGGCTCCAACAGAAACCCAAGAGGCCCCCAAGAACCCCCCAACGAGGACCCCCAAAGGCCCCCCAAAGCCCAAACGCCAGCGAGGGCACAATACGGGCCGGCGGAATGAGCGAAGCGATTCAATACATATCTATATATATATATATATAGACACAAATCCCAGGATTCCCTACATGTTTCAATATTTTCTGGGTTTTCGTCTCCCCCCCCCCCACTGTTCATACTTTCTAATGTTTCCCTGCGAGTCGACGATGAATTGTGTCCGTGAGCTCTATTCCCTCCTGAATGAAGAGGGGGAAGAAAAAAGCGCGGGGGCGACGAAGAGGGGGGCTAGGAAGAGGGCCAGGTGCGCAAGGGGGCCTGGAGCATGTGCGCGGACGCGGGGGCGGGCCAGAGAAGATCGTGAAAGAAGAGAAGGAGGCTATTAACTTTTCCGTCGGCGGCGAGGTAGAATTGGCTGCAGCAGCGAAAGATCTGCACGGGGGCACTGAAAAAGAGGGGGCAATAAACATTGGGCGATTCGATCGCCCCGGCCATGACATCCACACATCCCCAGTCCTCATCCCACTCGTCGACGCCTGGTGGTTTTCGGGTCACAGACGGGGCGCCTGGCGGCCCTCGAGAACGATCTGGCCCCCCCCCGCCCCAGACAGCCCTCGATGGGGCGCAGCTTCTGGAAAGCATACCGAGGGCGAGAAGAGCTCCCCACGATCCGGCGAAAGCTCCTTCCCCTGGTGCCCCTCCTCGCCCGTCCCCTGCCCCTCCCCCTCCTCCTCCTCATTCTCCTCCTCCTCCTCCGCCTCCTCCGCCTCCTCCTCCTCCTCCTCCTCCTCCTCCTCCTCCTCTTCCTCCTCCTCTTCCTTGGACGTCCTCGCCCCCCTGGTCCCCGCTCCTCCTCCGGACGCCCCCGAGGCGGAGGCGGGCGGGCGGGCGCTCCATGGGCGTCTCCGGTGGGGGCGCGGGGCGCGGCTGGAAGTAGCAGAGCACGGTCAGCTCGTCCTGCATCTGCTCGAGGAACGCGTGCTTGTTCCCCTCGCGCGGAGAGACGAGGGGAGGGGGGAGGGCGGGGGGGGGGACGGAAGGGGCGAGGGGGGAGGCGCGGGACGGAGCGGAGAGGGGGCGGGAGGAGGACGAGCAGGACGCAGCAGGGAGGAGGAGGTGGAGAGGAGGACGGAGCAGGGAGGATCCAGGTCGGGCGTTGGCAGAACTGGGTTTAAAGGGACCTGGTTTAGTGATGTGTACCGGGGGGGCGCCCCCCCCGTCCCAATCCACTAACCGGAATTGCCGCCACCCGAAAATCACCAACTACGGCAGACCTGGTTTAGTGATTCCAATCCGTATCCTGGACTTCGGGGACCAATCACTGACCGGCTCCCGTTGACCGGGGTCCTGGCTATACTCGGGGAGACGTAAGACTCGGGTACGGGGGACTCGAGTTGGCCTGACGGGGCCATCATAAAAATGACGAGATCCAATCTGAAATCTGACGCGAGCTCACGCCGCAGACATCCCACGAAAACCAGACCGTCAACATCCAGGACGCGCTCGCCAAAAAGCGTGGGCAGACCCGAGTTCCGGCTTACTCGAGTCTTACGTTTCCCCGGTAGACCCGACCAGGGTGGGCGGGAGACCGACTGGGCGCTCCAGGGGGAGGTCCCCGCCGGCAGCAGGCGGGAGGAGGAGGCGGAGCGCGCCCTGCCCCCCGCGGCGCGCGTCGGGCACGCGGCCGCTGCCTCCTCGCCGCTCCGCCTCCTGCTCCTCGTGCTCCTCGCACCTCCTCTGCTTGCTCCTCGCGCTCCTCGCCCGCCTCCTCCTCCTCCTCCTCCTCCTCCTCGTCCCTCCTCTTCTTGCTCCTCGCGCTCCTCGCCCTCCTCCTCCTCCTCCTCCTCCTTCTCCTCCTCCTCCTCCTCCTCCTCTTCCATCCCCGTCGTTCTGAACGGCTCCTCGCTGTCGCACTCCTATAAAGTCTGTAGGAGGGGGCCGGGCGTTACGCCTGAGACTTCCGCACGATTGATTGCCCTGAAGCTCGATGTTGGCGGCGGGTTCACGGGTGGACAGCGGTCCGTCGCCAACATGAATCTCTCGCCTTTACGCCGCGCACATTCGTATCACAAGTTCGCAACAGCTTCTAGGATGGATGATGGGGGAGTCCCCAAGATGGAGCTATCGCCTTAGCGCCACGCGCATTCGGCTCAACAGTTTGCAACAGCTTCAAAGATGAGGGAGGGCGGTTACTTCTAAAATGATGTTCTGGCCTTCGCGCCGCTCACGCTCGTCCGACACTTCTGCACCGTTTTCGGGGATGGCGGGCGATTCGTTTGCGAAATGGCGCTCTCGCTTTCGCGCCGCGAATGCTCGTTTTGGACCTGTGCAGCACTCTCCACGACAGAAGGCGGGCCGTTTTTGGGAGAAGGAACAACTGCATAAACACGAACTTTTGGCGCTCCGCGCGGACTTCTTGGATCTGCGCTGGACCCCCTCTCCCTGGCGCGCGGAGCGCGCCAGGGGCGGCGCGCGCCAGGGGCGGCGCCAGAGGCTCCGCCAGGGGGGCCCAACGCCGATCCAAGAATTCCGCGCGGAGCGCCAAACGCTTACGATTATGCCGGTGTTCCTTCCCCGAGCTGATCCTTCCCCGAGCTTTATGTTTATGCAGTTTATGTGTATGCAATGTATGTTTAAGCAATTTATGTTCATGCCGTTTTGTTCCTCCCCGAATTTTCGAAATGGGTCTTCCGCGTGGGCGCCGCGCGCGCTCGTGTCGTACCGCAGCTTCGGGGCTGGATGGCGGGCCGTCCTCACGACGCCGAGTGGGCTCGGAGGGGAACCCTGGGGCTGGCCGTCGCTCGGACGTTCACTCCCCGGGCACTGCTCGTCCTTGCGCGTGCTGGCTCTGCTCGATGCTCCAGGGCGCTCCTCGACGGCCCTCGCCGAGGAGGAGCCGCACACGCCCGAGCGATGCCGCGGGGACAGCAAGCGCGCCCGGCTTCGCGCTGCGCGCTGCGCGCTGCGCGAAGAACGCTCGCGCCCTCGCGCCGCCCCGCCGGGGAGGAGCGCAAGACGAGGAGGAGCCGGAGCCGAACCGCGAGGCGCACAGCATTCCGCGCCCTCGGGGGAGGACGCCCTCCGCTAGCGGCGAGCGAGGGGGAGAAGTGAGGAGGAGAAGGCATTCTCAGAGGGCGGCGGGGCTCCCCAGAAGCCCTCGCGCCTTCTGGGGAAGCTCTTGCTCCCCAGGAAACTTCTGGGGAAGGCTCAGGGAACTCCTCTCTCTGACAGCAAGGGGACTCCCGAGACCTCTGAGCAGGCCCGCCCCCTCTCGCTTCCCCCCCTCGCTCGCCGCCGAGTTAGCCATATGGCGAGCCACCCGCCCCTTCTCACTTCCCCCCCTCGCTCGCCGCCGACCTGACGAGGCGCCGTCGAGGGCGCTCCTCCTCCTCCCCTCCTCCTCCTCCTCCTCCTCCCTCCCTCCTCCTCCTCCCCTCCTCCTCCTCCTCCTCCTCCCTCCTCCTCCTCCCCCTCCCCCTCCCCTCCCCCTCCCCCTCCCCTCCCCCTCCCCTCCCCTCCCCTCCCCGCCTCCCTCCTCCTCCTCCTCCTCCTCCTCTCGTCCTCGTCCTCGTCCTCGTCCTCGTCCTCGTCTCGTCGTCCTCGTCCTCGTCCTCGTCCTCCTCTCCTCCTCCTCCTCTCCTCCTCCTCCTCCTCCTGGTGGCGCCAGCACGCGCGGCCACCTCCGCGCTCTCGCGCCGCTGCCCCCGCAGAGGCGGGGGCGGCTCCGCGGGCCAGGCCGCGACGTGCGAGAGGGAGGCGCGCCTCGCTGTTCGTCCACCCCCCCCGCCGTGAGCAGCCAGGCTCCTGGTGCCCCCGGCTCCTCGGTGGGCCCCCCTCTGCCCTCCGCCCCCCTCTCCCTCCCGCCTCCCCGTTGCCTTCTCCCTCTCCCTCCCTCTCCTCCTTTCCCCCCCCTCTCCTCCCACTCCCTCTCCCCCTTTCTCCCCCTCCTCCTTCCTCCTCCTCCTCCTCCTCCTCTTCCTCCTCCTCCGCTGCTCCTGCTGCTCCTGCTGCTGCTATCTTCTCGTCCGCTGCTCCTGCTCCTGCTGCTGCCGCAACTACTCCTGCTCCTGATGCCGCTTCCTGCTCCTGCTCCTTCCCCTGCTGCTCCTCTTCGCCAGAAGCGATGCATGTTTAGGTGAAGCAGATGCTTGCTCGAAGGTATTCGGATTGTCTCCCGCAGCTTCCAGATGTGCTCGATCCTAGGCTAGCTCTGGAGGTTACAGGAACGCCCTGCTGCTGCTGCTGCCGATTCCTTCCCCACAGTCGCCTCATCGCCTGCCTCCTCCCTGCTTCGTGCTCTGCCCCCTGTGGACCGTCCGACTCTTCACCTTTCTAGCCTCTATCCTCCTCGTCCTCCTCCCACTCTCCCTATCCTCCGTGTCCATCCCCTCCCTTCAGCGGCGAGCCCTGGGGGGAGGTGAGAAGGGGCGGGCCTTCGTAGAAGGCGCTGAAATCCCCCTGCCATCTGAGAGGTGTTCTACGCCTTCCTCGAAGGACACCGGAGACCTCCCAGGAAGGCGCGAGGCCTTCTGAGAAGTCCTGCCGCCTTCTGAGAAGGCCCTTCTCCTTCTCGGACGCCTCGTGGTTTTTGGGGTCGAACCTCGGCTCTCTGGTGGCCGCTCGGGACGATCCGGGCACCCCGGGAACGCCCTCGGCGGGGCGCAGCCGCTGGAACGCACCCCGAGGCTGGAAAACCGCCGAGAAGCGACGAAACAGTTCGAAGACCTCGAACCTCGAGCCCGAAACTTCCCCCTTCTCGCTTCCCCCCTCATCGCTCGCCGCCGAAGAGTTCGAAGACCTCGAACCTCGAGCCCGAAACTTCCCCCCTCTCGCTTCCCCCCTCGTCGCCAGCCGCCGATCCCTCCCTCCCCTCCACCCCTCCTCTCCCGTCCCGCTCCCTCCGCACCCCGTGGGGCGCAATGAGAAGAGAGCGGAGGCCCCGAGAGGTGGAGGGGGGGGGTGGGACGGGAAGGCGGGGAGGCCCTAAGGGAGGGACATGCAGGGCACTCGGCGGCGAGCCCGGGGAGGGGGGGTGGAAGTGAGAAGGAGAAGGCCTTCTCGGAAGGCTCGGAAGCCCCCGGCCTTCTGAGACGTTGCCCCAGCCTCCCCCGAAAGCGAGCAACATCATCTCCGACGGCGCGAGGGCTTCTGAGACGTCCCGCCGCCTTCTGAGACGGCTCTCCTTTCTCGCTTCCTCCCCCCCCTGGGCTCGCTGCCGAGGCAAACGACAGCCTCGGCGCATGCCCCCTCTGGATCGTCCTCCTCTGCCGCCGCCCAGGGCCCGGACCACCAGTCGGGGGAACGCCCGCTGACCACCTCACCGACCCCGGCCGGGCCCAGGGGCGGGAACGGCGTCGGCGCCCTCCCAGCTTGGCCAGGGAGGCACGAACACACCCAGACAGGCAGGCAGACAGACAGACAGGCAGGCAGACAGACAGACAGACAGACAGGCAAACAGGCAGACAGACACACGCCCGCCCGCCCGCCCGCCCGCCCGACCGCCCGCCCGCCACGCCCGCCCGCCCGCCGACCCGCCCGCCCGCACACACACACACACACTCTCTCACACACACACACCCATATATATATATATATATATATATGTATATGTGTGTGTGTAATAACACACCCACGCACACCCACGCACACGCACACGCACACGCACACGCACACACACGCACACACGCACACACGCACACACGCACACACGCACGCAACAACAACGACAACACCACCACCACCAACAGCAACAACAACACCACCACCACCAACAACAACATCACCAACAACAACAACAACAGCAAAAGCAACAACAACAACAACACCACCAACAACAACAACACCAACACCAACACCAACACCACCAACACCAACACCAACACCAACACCAACAACAACAACAACAACAATTACTAGCACGTGGGGACACTCCGTTCTCACCAGTGCCAGGGTTTTCATACGACGCCCGCCAATACCCCCACTTTGTGGGG